ATTTGACACTTTACTGCACAAAGGGCGTCAAATTCAAATCTTGCGTTAATCCCTTTATAATAATAATGGATGAACACAACAATAATATATCAATATTTCTAATACATTAACTTTAATAACTCAGATGAAATATACTAAAATACACTAATCTTCTAATTTACATAATGATTGGTATTCATATAATAAGTACACATCAATAAATAATTAGTCATTAGTCATATAATTCAGAATGCGACCTTTCAATGTAATGAATGAAGATATTGACATTTAATATAGTTGAAATTAGTATAATTGCTTATTAAAATAATTTTACTTGAATGTTATAGCTAGTCATTTTACGTTTCATCATTCAGTTGTTGCTAGGCTATAAAATTAACAAAACAATAAAATGAGAACATTGTAAGGGCACAATTAATACATTTATCGCAATGGGAAGGAAATTGCGTGGGTATGCATGAAATTGTTGCAATTAATTTCGGAGGAAGTTCTGCTGATGTATGGGATCTCATCCAGTTTTCGGGGTTCGACCCGACCAGAACACGCACCAGATATTTTTTACCAGGGGACGCAGCTGCACAGCTCCACTTCATTTTACATACATCCACCAATTAAATATTAATCCCTAATTGGTATACGAACAAAAAAAACTAAACGATATACAATTTGTACAGATAATGGTACTTTTATTTTGAATTATTTGGAGGCATTTGTTAAAAATATCGATTTTAACTTCTAGATTAATTATTTGAGTTTTTTTTTTGTTATAAAGAAATTTTGAAATCCTCGTCATTCGATTGTTTTAAAAATTGTATATATATATTATTCCAAATTGTTTTCTTTAATTCACCCAAACATTTATTTTAGATTATTTTTAATATGAAAATTTACAATATTTTTTTTCTTATAAATTAAGTAAAATGAAAATTTGCAAATTAACCAAAATATTATTAAATCAAACATAAAATATGGAAACTATTAATAATTAAAAAAAAACCTGAACATTTTTTGTTACTTTTGCTAATTCTAGGTAAATCTAAATTATAAATAAAAATATTTTTACTATTTTTGTTACTTTTGATTTGCTAACAAATAAATCTAGTAATATCTAGAATATAGATAAATAATTCTAAAAAATATAATATTTGATTTATCTTCATTTAATCTATTATTGTATTCCAAATTTCATGTGTTTTTCTCCTGTTTTATAAACTATGTTACATTACTTTTTCATTGATAATAAATAAATTTAGGTAATTCTAGAATGAAGATAAATAATTCTAGATTTATTAGAAAACAAATAATTTAATCTGCATACTAATTGATTGACATTTTTTGGTAAATTTATATAATAAAAAGTTGATCCTTAGTCTTCTCCAAAAGTTGACTATCAATTAGAGTTTGTCGGTTTTTAAAACCCGGTTTTTAGAGGAAATTTATGTAATTCCAAAATCGTAAATGTAATTTTCAAACTAAAAAAACGTCTTTGAGTCTACAAAATATAAAAAATATTTTAATAATTTGATTAAAAAGTTGAATTAGGTAAATTAGGAATTAGGTCTTAGTTAATTTACAAAATCAACACAACGTTTAGACAAACACTAGCTTATTTATTTTACATTAAATTTTTAGACAAATGTTATCAAGATTGTATCCAAATTATTAAATAGAATATGACTGCGATGACAAAAAAGCGCCAAAGAACAGCAGTATCTTCAATGCTCTAAAGACAATTAAACCCATGTTTCTTTTTTCTATTCCTGTAAATTTTGTATGTGCAATAAATCCATGCGAGCAATAGAAAATAAGTTGTAAAAATCTCTTTTCTCTATTTTTGTTTGTGAAAATACGAAAACCGGTTTTGTAGAAAAGTTGAGATTCGAAAAACTCGGTTTTTGCATAAATCCTAATTTGAGAAAAATATAAATAATCTGATATTGTAGGCCCTTCACTTCATTAAACATAAATGTGTAAATTTGGTAACATTTTTAATGGATAAATTTGAATATTATATTAAGTATATTCAATTTAAGTAATTAACATATGTTGGTTTAATGTTCAATATTTTTAATGATTTTAATAAACATATTAGGTAACTCCTTTCTCTGACTTCAATCACATTATGTATACATTTCCGAAAGGTAAACCTTCAGGGAAACAACGTAAACTTTCAATGAAAACAAATTAATGTAAACATTTGGCCATAAGCAAATATTATGAAACAATTTAACATAATTGATTGCATACAGTTAGTAACCATGGTTACTAGATTAACGGCTCTCGCTATAATTCCACTATGATAAAATTGTAGTGCATCAATAATTAATTGATTGTATAAAATGAATAAATTGGTATTACTAATTTATAGCTAAGCTTAAGCACACCTATTGCCATCTGCCGCGACCAAAGGCAAGTGAAACTATTGATCATCAATTTCAAACATGAATTATTATTTTTAGACCAAAGGATTGGACGGGGCAAATATTTACGAATTCGCTTGTATTGCCACAAGTTGAAACTCAATTACTGCATTTCAAAAGTACACTCCAAGCATTTTCGTAATTAATCGTAACTTGTTTTTGTTTATATCTACAATTCTGCGTTTTTAAATAATCAATGTCAAGTCGTATATTATATAAAATAAAATAATAAATGCGATTGTTATTTTCGTTTTGGTGTTTTTGCCAATTCGTAAAATAATATTTATTTATAAAAGAATACAAGTATATCCGTTTGGTCACAAAAACAGAGTAGGTGTTTTATGCACTGAAACCGAAATAACATCCATCTGATTAATGCCTACACACTTGAGCTAGTAATTCAGTGTTTGCGAAATGAAAGAGAATACGGCGTAGGGGGGAATGAGGAGAAGGTTTAGGTGTGTGGCATGTAGCTAGGTGATCCCTTTGATCGTTCATGTGGAGAAAAAAATGGATGGGATCTATTCTTGGTTCAAACTCAGTTTCATGTTGTAGATGTGAGGATACCGGCTGTGCCACCAATCTAAAATTTCAATATGATATACCGGATCTATGTAGACATGGATACTGTCGCCGCCATCTACTGGACGATGCGCGTGGCACGACGTAGTGCTGAACCTCAGGTGCAGATTGTAATGGCTCATGTCCTGTCCCAATTTGCTTCGAATAGATGTCAGGTACATACTAAAAAATAGAGAAAAAAAAAATAATTCACAATCGTAAACGTTATTGGCTAATTACCCTTCTAAAGGTGGTATGAGGAAATGGTCGAGCGATACGATTTTGAGGAGCATGCAGTCATCTTCATTGTTAGCCGAGATATCCTCGAGCATCTCAATCAAATCCAGCCCGCTACATTGTCTCCTTATTTCCTTCATCCTTTGCAGCTTAAATTTGTAGTACCATTTACCCTTGTACAGTTCAACACACGTCTCCACGCATTGCCTTTTCAACAGGACATCCATGTTGTCCTTATACGTGTCCACCTTGCACCTCTCCACGTAAGGTGGATACATGAAAAACAGCGACTTTATGACCAACGTCCGAATACCGTACATTCGAGACACGTTTCGCGGCCTCAGATGCTCAGGAATATGCTTGTTCACATAGTTCTTCTTATACATGAGCTGCCAAAATCTAGCAGTATTCGTCACAGAGTAGCAGGCCTTGCAAATACCAGAGAATCTCCCCACATCCTCAGGCCTTATGTACTCAGATAACAATTGCCAAATATCATAAGGATACTCATTACCTTCCGTCTTACAAATAGCTGCTTCTTCTCTTGGTTTATCCTTCTTCTTAGCCACCAGACTCACTGAGCCATCCTCACTCCGTTCCTCCACATACTCATAATCATTTTCATTGTATTCGTCCCATGATTGTGGCTCCAACTTAATCACACCATTTACATCACATTTCTTTGGTTTCCTTGGACATACATTGGAATTGGCAAAGTCATTTATTGTCACATCTGCAAATTTAAGAGATCAGTAAAGAACAAATTTCATTTAGAATGTATACACTAACCTCCAACAATTGCTGTTGCTTCCTCACCTGGATAGAAATATGCAATCAATAAGAAATGATTAATACTTTTTATGGAAAGAACATACCTCTAACGCTTTTTTGTTTATGTTTCCTCTTTTTCTTACCCATTTCGAGCCGTTACTTTCAATTCAGCGTCCTGCGAGATTAAGTTCTGGAATGCGATGCAGCAAACATAATAAAAACATTTGACATCCAGCATGTTTGAATGGCTTGACAGCAAACATATGACATCTGTCAAATATTTAAACGGTAGGACATTGGCGTACTCAACAAAAAACTACACTGCTTATTTATTATTTAAATTATAACAATTAGGTTTTTGGGGTGTCCGTATCCCTATGGTTATAGTCCGATAAAATTCGATACGAAAGTTGGTAAGGTGATATGTTCGAATCTCACCAACAACAAAAATTGTGGGGACACCGAAAGGGAGACGGAAATAGGGACAAAAGATACAAAAAAATAGTTTTTCATTAACTAATAAATATATAACAAATAATTAAAAAAAAACGAATAAAATAACAATAAATATGTTATTTCCAGCATTCATTGATCTTCCAACAAAAATAGAACTAAATAAATCATAAAATTATAAATTTATCTAATTAAATTTTGTATACATTTCAGTTATTTCTAATTGTTAAATTATTTCTTAAAATACTATAACCACAAACAAAATATACACACTTAAATTATACCAAGTGTGATATTATAGATATGAAAAAATTTGAAATTATTTTAGATTATCAGAACTTTATTACTTAACTAAACTATAAAAACTTGCTTAAGATAAGTTTATGAAACATATTGAAATTGCTTTAAGTTAAATATTGTATTAAATCCTTATATTTTAGTAAATATGAAATATTTAAAATCGTTCCCTATATTATATGAGTCAAATATGTGAAAATGTACGTAATAACAATGAAAAACTGATGATTTCTTATAAGGTATTATATGATAAAATATTAACGAAGATAATGTACTTTTATAAAAATAGTAAGATGTTATTAATGTCTATTTTTTTCATTTCTATTCAATTAGAATTTATTATTTGAGATCTTATGTATTAAGAAAATTTAGATGGACATTTATTATTATTATACAAGCATTATTATGAATATTTGTACTTTCAATTAATATGATTACATTTCGCTGTGTCACGATTATTTTCATTTCTTGCTTTAATAAATCGGAATCAATTGATATTTAATCATAATAAGCTACCAATCGAATATATTTTAAATACACATTAGTGTTATTTCAATAAGTTTTGTTTTTATCATATTAAACATTTAATTTTAAGCAATTGAAATGGAAATTACTAAGTTTGTAAAACTATGAAATTACATGGATCAGTTAAGTTTTGATCACTTTGTTTTTTATGCTTATGTAAGAAATATTGTAATAAATTCAGTCAAATTACTCTAAGAAGTTAGTGTTTCATCATAAAAGAAAAAAGGTAAATTTTATAGAATTGAAATTATATATTTTTAAGTTTGTGCAATATTGGCAACCCAATATACACTAACTAAAATTTTGTTGTTTAAAGTTATTTTTTATAATATTCTGTTAATATGATCCAATAATGTGGTTTTATTGTTTTTAGGAAAGTTGAGGTGTATATTTGATGGATAAAAATGTTTGTGTTGTAAAGGTAACGAGTCACCACTGGATGAAAAGTACAGTGCCCTCGCTTACCGATCCGTCTGACATATTTCAAAATGGCTGTCAGGCAAAAGACCGAGTAGATTGATATAGTAGTGATAGAGTTGTGCGGTCTTGTATTTGTAGGTGTGTCTATGGCATTATGAGAGTATAATGTTATTAACCGGAAGGGACGATTGTTTTAAGATGTGCACGTGCCGTATGCTGCGCCCCTGTCAGTATAGGTTGGAACGGTTTAGTTAACTGCCTCCCCCTTGGAGCACACTAGGAGAGAGACCTATAGGGAGCGAGCGATCCATGGTTCATGTTAGATTGAAATACGCGACTTTTATGAATCGCAGCAACCCCCCCGGAACAGGGAACTGGCAATCATCCTGATCATCAACACAATCATCATCATCTTCAGCCCAGCGGAGAATGGAAACGACGACGGTGTGCGGGCGTGTTATTATCAACTGAGGTCGAGGGCCACCGCAAGTGGACTCGGGGGGTCGAGACAGAGGGTTGGATACAGCTAGGACAAAAGCTGGTATAAGAGAAGAGACCTGGGGAGCACCACCATAACCTAATTCGCGTGTGCCTATGTGCGTGTGTTCTTAGCTCGTATACGTATAATATCAGTACATATTTTAGTAGTTGGTTGTTTCGGTTATCTGTGTGCCCTTTGTACATAAACAACGTGCTCGTAGCAGTCGGTTCGGGGGGCTTGGGAGAGTAGCATCTACAAAGATGTGGAACATGATGTGCGATGTTATGCCGACTATATCGGAGGACAGCATCAGCCAGAGGAGCTCGCAGTTCTCTGGCGACGATGCCAACTTCGAGCAGCTGATGGTGTCCATGCTGGACGAGAGGGACAAGTTGATGGACAGTCTGAGGGAGACGCAGGAGCGACTCGGAGATACGGAGATCAAGCTCCAGGACACCGAGAAGGAACGAGACTCGCTCCAAAGACAGATCGCCGCCAACTTACCCCAGGTAACTTTCGGTTCGCGCCGGCAGTGTTGCCAAAACACGCCCGCCACCCCCCGCATCAAACGCGCCCTCTTACTACTCTCGGTACTACATACAACATGCCCTCTAGATAACAACGATTATGAATGAGATCATAGTAAGCCGCGGCCACTCCTAAAAAGCATTACGCTCTCTGTCGTGTCAGTGCATGCGATGCGATTCCTAAAACATTGCTCGAATTACGAACTTAATACGTTCATCCCACAACTTTTATTCTATTTCTGGAACGCATCGCTCATTTACAATGCGACATATTTACTCTTCTACCCAAAATATTCCTCAACATCATCATTCTATGTCTGCGAAAAGACTGAATGATTTACGCATTCACCAGTACAAATTAATGCAATAATCAAGCTTAACATAATATTCAACATGTAATCTTTTATTCTTTCAATATGTTATTTCAATATATCCCGTCCAAAACATCTGGTATTTTCATTCTCAATAAAGAATATTTTCTGTTTCATGTGATTTCTAGACTATTTCATTATTCAAACATTTTTATGATTGATGAATGACGTATTCGTTGTCCCATTAATAGTAATCTAAATACAGATATGACATTAATATATGTAAGGAATTCTCACTCATGCTAACTGTTATAGTGACTTCTTCTAATTAAGATATTGACAGTTGTATAATTCATCATGATGCTTTGAGAAGTTATAATAACGATCAATTTTGATGTATTAAGATTTATATAATAATTTTATTTAATCTGTTATTGTTATGTAAATTAAACATTCCTTGAAAATAAATTAAATAGGTACATTCATAAAATTAATTATGAATGTCGAATGTTTCATAACAGTTTAAATAAATATTTTATATGATAATGAAATACGACATACAAATCAAATGTATGTTTCAATGAAACCATATGAACATTAATAAAAAAAATCAATGGTTGAATTCAAACGAAGAGTAAAAATGCCTTTGGAATATATAACAAATGCATACAGATTATAGAATGTGTCATGAATATTTGAGCTGTGACTAATAACTTATATGTTTCTCTAATAAATGTTAATATAATAATCAGGCCGAGCATGATATGAATATATTATGTAGGCATGTCACAATCCGAAATGTTATTGCAGTCTCTGTAGTCTCAGATAACAATTACATTCCAGAAACAAAAAATACGAAAGTTGTTTAATTTAATATTTTATTTAAGGAAAGCCTTATATAATTATAATCAATCAATAACAATCATTATTAACGAATTATTTTATTAATATACATACTAAGAATAGTATCGAAATTATACAGGGTGCGGCAGATATAAAGAAAAGCTATAAGGTTACCAAATGTGTATGGTCGTCAAGGCCACCATTTGGACGATAAAATTTTATATCAACATTTGTAAAATCATTGTTTTTCAATACCTTTTGAAATGTGGGTGTTATTTCTGCCGCATCTATATATAAAGGTATTTCCGTTTTAGTAGCCTTGTTAATGATTACATATTATATAATACTCTGTCAATATTAAGTTCTTGATAAATGCAATTATTGACTGACTAATCTATATCACGTTTAATCTTCTAAAAATATTGACGAAGAATGTCTAATTATTGATATATTTCTCAAATCTGTCCTTTTCACTAGTTATTATAGCAAAATGTATTTTAAACATATTATTAAGAAATATACAGATTTTGCAGTAAATAAAATATACGTTTGTTTTAATCATTAAAATTATCAAAATATTATGTATTATTTTATTATTGAATGAAACTGTTTCAGTTGATTTTATTTACGTATTGATAAATCAAGTTTATCTATAAAGTATGTAAATTGTGGATATCTAATTTTACTGTGAAAGCCTCTATTATTTTTTTACCCGCATTCTGTTATTGTTTAAGTTCAAAAATACCTGTGATAATGTTTATTATCACTAGCATTATTCGTTGATTAAAGATGATTTGTATTGTTTTCAAAAACATACCTTACTGTATTCATATCTAAAAACACACGCATTGAAGTGCACACTCTGATAAAGCTATGCAAATCGACACCAGTGTCAGATTTTTCGCATTATAGCAATATTTAGTGTTGTTTATTTCTGTTTCAAAAATACTATTATCCTTCATTGAATACGAATTTGTAAATATTTAGATGTTTCATTCAAAAAAATGTGTACATTTTATCATTAACAAGTGATTCTTTAATATTTGTATGCTTATAAATTTTTATGATTATTTGTACTTTTTTTGAGCTCAATGTTTACTGTTGACTGACCATTAAATTTACAACCAGGTGGCAACTTCCTTACAGTTACTTGCTTAAATACATATTGTAATATCCTATTATGTTAATATCTACTTCATAACTAAATTGTAAATCTAGATAATTGAAGCGTTCTAGTCATTGAGCTGTGAAATTATTATCCAGTAGTTTAACTACTATATTTATGTATGCATCTCTTTCCATTTCCTGGATAAATTTATTACCTTTTTTGATATCAATCAAATGATGATCTTTATTTAGTATATTCATTAGTAAATGCGTACCAGTACTTGGTTCGACTTTCGAGTTTTTGTTTGAGATTCGAATCTTTTGAGATAAATTGAATCCAATAATTCCAAATAGTTTGATAAATGTAGTAACTTTTTGGAGAAGAAAAAATTGTGATAAAAGTATCATGACATAAATAACATACGTATGTTATTAATATAACTACAGAGACTCTTTTCATAAAGTATCTACTATGTTCCATTTAAAACCCATTAATGATTAAGTTAACCCCAATTCGAGTAATAATGATGTTCATAATACTTTAGTTTAAAACGTTCCTTTTACATGAAGTCTTCATCAATTAGTTTAAGCCTAGTTCTGTTTAATTGTTATTGTTATTCTTTCGATCGTCCATGTGACAACGATGCCCTTACGACCTTGTCGAGGCCAGTGACACTGTATTAGCACTGAGAGATGCCAGAGATCAGGCAAGAACTCCATGCATTACGTGGGTTCTCTCGAAAATCCATTAGCCTCATTCACCGCGTACGACCACATAAAAAAATCGATAATAACAGATGATTACATTCCTTTCCCGATTACATAATCTCCGAAACAGATCGATGAAAATTAAAGTTTAATTAAAACGCGCTTCCTGTGCACGGGAATTCCGATTGATGATAGACCGTTTGTATTTACTTTTCGTGCGGTTTGTTTGCCTTCAATTTGTGTTGTGCGCGATTTGTTAATTGGCTCTATTAATTAATGCCGTTCGATGAAATCGGTTGTTATGTGTCCTTTTTTTTGTATGTGCAGCATTCCGTGCCAATTACTTTGGTGGATTGAATTTGGTGAATGTAATGTGCGCAATCTTTTGTTGGTCCAGTGTAAAAAAAGAGGCTATCGAAGGCAATTATTGTTTGTTTAATAAACTTCAGACAGTCGGATTCTAATTTTGTGTTCATTGGTGCTCGTTTCTTTTTTCGTTTAATGACAATGGCAAGGTTAAACATTAGCGAACTGTGTAAATGTTCAGTTGAAAATAACCAGATGGAATACACAATACATTTTCTACTCAGAAAATTCAATTTATGCTATGAAGGAAAATTCCTAATTTTTATTAAATTGAAAGTAATTCAGGCTTTGAAATGTTTTAAATGTGTCTGGAAATGCTTTTTTTGTAAATTAACATCCATATTTTTTTAGCATTTTTATCCTGTACATTATTTTATATAATTCATTTTATTGTTTAAGTTTTTATCAAAATATTATTTTAGGAATAATAAATAATATATAGGAAAAGCCATAAGTTCATAAGTATTAATAAATTAATTGATTTATGCCGCATTTTTATGGACTTGGATCCTTGACTATTGCATCATTTTCACCAGTTTGTTACGAAACTCGTGTTTTTATTCGAAGTTAATACAACAATGTCATCAGCAAATGTTACATTTGTTGTATTTTTGGAGTCGAACTCAAGTATACTTAAGGGAACAAGAATTGGGTACTTTGAACTATTTGTGAACAATAATTTTTCTGATTTTTGACTGATGTTTGATGGGAAATTATTTATTTATTATTACACAATTTCCTGTGAATATGTTGTTTTATGCCTTTGAAAAGAGTATTATATGCATTTTATTATTTGTTTAAAATAACTATTTTCTTAGATAAGATTAAGATAATCTAATCCAAATTAATCCAGACATAATATTAAATATTGCTAAGTACATTTCGCTGTACTAACATATTTACAGTTTTAATATTTTGAGTACAAATTACCTAAATTACTTCTAATTATGCAAATCCGCTAGGTTTTAAGTTATTTTTCAATGTCAAAGTAATATTTTAAAAAGTTAACAAAGTTGTATGCAACATTGTATTAGAATTTGATTTATTTGATTTCCGCAGTTTATTTCTTAACACTCTTTTTTTTTCGTGAGTTTCGTAATACTTAGTTTTATGATCCACAAAAAGCGGAAACGATTGAAAACACTAAAAAGTGCATAAAACACAAAGTGTACGCCAACGTCGACTACCATTGACCTCGTGATTCCGAATTTTATTATAAGATTGTAATGCTAACATATGGAATGCATTGGAGTGGGATGATCGTGTGAGCGAACATTGCATACGGCAATGATGAATATGGAACGGTTCATTTATTAAGTAATAACTGCATTTGGGATGATTGAAGAGAGCTTCAGTTTTAATTCTTTTTGGGAAATTTGATTATCAAATATAATGGACCTTCCTACAACTTAGAACTCGAACAAAATAAATGGAAGTAAATTTATTTTTGAAACTTGATTAAAAAAATCACGTATTTTATCTGTTTTAATTCTTTTGGGATTTTTGATTATCAAATATTATGAACCTTCCAACAACTTGGAACTCGAACACGAAAAAATGGAAGTAAATTAGGTTTTGAAACTCAAACAAAAAATCGCGTAATTTCACTGAAAAAACAAATAACATTAAACAAGTTGTTTTCAAACA